CTAACAAGTCCTTCTCCTTGCCTGAGCTAGCAATAAATGCCAACGTATGCACCACAGAAGCCTGTCCCCCCCCACCCCCGAGCTACCACCAAATGACCAAAGATGGTCTTTCAAACAGTGCTTTTATGCGGGCAGTCCTCTGCGAGCTGCAAAAAAAAAGGAAATAAGCAAAAATGAAACAAGCCACTGAAATATGCTAATGGAGGTAATGCAAGGCTCACTGCTCAGCACTTGCTTAGGTTCTAGACTATTCCATCATGCCCCTCCTCTTGGCTCTTGACATGAGAAAACCCCAAACCACAAGGGACATGAGGGAGTCTCTGTATCTCAGCCTGTGGTGGACTTGACAATAAAGAGGCAGAGAACTGAGTTAAAATAATTCATGTTGCTCTTTTATTTCAGCTCAGTCCACACCTTCAGTAAAACACATCCAAATGTCTGGAGAGCTGCTGTGTGCATTATCAGTACTTGAACACAACTGACAACTCAGGACAGCACTGCGCAGAGGGTACAGAGAAGTCAGGGGCCTCTGACGTCCCATTCACAAAGACCAACGCAGGACACATTGTAGTTTCCCCTGAAAGACTTGTTGAGTTTACAGAGATGAGTACCAAACCCTTTCTTGCCCCCACACACACATCCTGTTCTTGCAAACTCCAAGGTCTCTCTCTCTCTTTGTTAGTTAGTTAGTTAGTTAGTTAGTTAGTTAGTTAGTTAGTTAGTTTTCTGCACAGGAAAATGTGGAGAAAGGCTTCCTGGTCCACCTTTCTGTGGAGTTATGGTGAAAAGTAGCCTTCTGGTTTGGGGAGTAGTTGCAAAGTGCCTTTCTTGACTGAGGAACACACTCAGGAAGTTGACGTGAGATCCAAAGGCAGACAGGAAAGAGTGGGCTTTGGTGACCGATGACACTGGACACAACATCACAGTAATATAGTCACTATCTTTTTCTTCTTCCTGGCCAAACAGCTGTGGCAATGGATTGGGCAGCAGTTGAGGGATGTGGCCTGGTTGGTCAGAATGCTGGCGTCTAGACTTCTGCTGACACCGCGACATCATGAAATCAAATGAATGGTCTCCTGATTGTTCAGCAATAAATTCATGGACATTTTAGTTGATCACACAGTCTCAGAGACTCAGTTCCAAAGCCCTGGTATCCAGTGTGACCTCAATGTTCCCACTGACCTCAGGGATCTCATCACCACCTTCTGACCGCACAACGTGCAGCCTTTCACTGCACAACAGATGTCCCAAGGGTATCCACCTACCTTCCCTACCCCTGTCCTATTTTACAAACAGAAAGTGGATGATGTGATATCCAGAGCGAGTTGTGTTAACATTAGGCATAACTAACCAGGGACTTCTTGCCCTTGGTACTTCCATGACAAGACATAAAATTACAGGACAGAGTCGAATGCCCTCTACTGTGAAGACCCTTCAGCACATCAGAAAATACAGCCAGACTCTTGGGTGTGGCCTTACTGGGAGCACAGCAGCATGACGTCACACATTGATTTCTGGCCCTGAAAGGTCACCTTTTAGCAGATGGGCCCCCTGAGCTGGCACCTAGAGATCTGGACTGGGTTGGGGTGAAGTCTCAAAGCTGTATCTGCATCAGGACATAGTGATCAACTCGACTACTTAGTCTTTCAAGTTCTAGTGCTTCAAGCCCAGTTTAGTGGAGGGTAGAGGGCCGGCACTGTTTTCACAGGGTGGGAGGAAGTGCCACCTAGTGGTGAGAGGAGGCAATGGCCTGGGTGGATGTAGGGCTCCAGCTTTTAGGAAAACCATTCACACTGACTTGTTATCTTTTCCATTTCTTTGAGTCTTCTGAAAATAACAGATAATTGAAAATAGAATCTCCAAGCCAAGTGAAACATATGTTCAGTCAAACTGTAATTCCACTATGGAGTCTCCCAATTCAGTGTGCCTGACAAAGCTCCAAGCCAGCTCTCCACACCTAAGTCAGTTCAAGGCCTACCAAAGGAGGCAGCTGAGCCACAGGTCACCAACATCCCTACGTTATAGGCAGCCAAGAATTCAAAGCATAACTACTTCCCATCTCTGTGACAAAGGTTCAAGTTCTTATAAACTTGTGAATTCATATCCTGTCCATTTCAACAACTTGTATTTTAGTCAGAAGAGTTAATACCAAAGAACTTTGTGTGCAACCAGATACAGTGTAGATTACAGAGAACTGTTTTTTCTTTCTGAGACAAAGCCAGAGTCTGTAGTCCAGGCTGAAGTCAAATTCATGATAATCCTTCTGCCTCAGCCTCCCGAAGTGCTGAGATTACAGGCATGAGTCACCACACCCAGCTCTTTACAGACTGCTTTGTAAGTATACCACTACATCCTTGACTATGGAATTCTGTTCCCATTTCCATGTGAATACTGACAAATTAAATGACTATTCACAAGTATTCATGGTGTCAGGAGGTCAGATTTAGGACCCTATGTCTGCTGGGAATTTTGCTGTTTTTTTTTTTTTTTTAATTTTCTTAAATATCAGTACTACCTCAAAACTCCTAGGGAAGTGGTTGGAAACACATTCAGCTCATAGTTAATCCATGAAAGGGAAAAGCAAATAAACAAGTAAAACCCTTGATGCTATTTGAAAATATTCCCTGTTCCCAAACAGAAGAGCATTTTAAGCAAGGATTGATTCTCTCCTTCTGAGACCTGTGATTATTGTAGGATTATTCTGAAGCCTTTGGACATCAGAAGATTGGAAGGGCCTTACCAGCTCTGGTACATAGAGGCTCAGTGCCTCAGAGGAGACCTAACTCAGATTTGCAATCAGCTACTTGGGAAGACAGCCTCTCAGGAAGGCAGAGCCTGGCTAATGTGCTAGACTGTGGGCGTTCCTAGGCCAGCACTTGGTGGCGCTGTCCTTGTCTGATTGCCATTGGGACCTGCTACAGGAAAGGCCAAAGGAGACAAGAGCAGGCAGTGCCATCAAGAAAAATGGCTTCTCTTCAAGAGACCTGTTCAATCCACTGGCGCACCAGGGCCCTGGGAGCACAGAGTAGGTGGGGCAGAAAATGGGTGGTTGTGGATGAAATGAACAGCATGTGCGATAAGATCCTATTAGTGGTCAAACCCCAGGCCTTACTCTCTGGAGAGACAGCTTCCTCATGCCAGCCATGTGTACAGCTCCATGCTTCTGAATAAAATTCCCTGGTCCCCGAGTTGACTAAATAGCCTCTTCCAGTTCCGGGGCAAATAGCAGGGGCTTTAAGCTGACTACATGGCTTCATTTAAAGCAAGACTTGTCAAAAACTCAAGTTGAAGCCTCTGCAGTGGGAAAAATGACTTTGTCCAGTCCAGGCTACAACAACAGGCACTACCCCAGCTGGTTTCTTAAGCATTCAGTGAACAAAGGAGGGTAGCCTGGACTAGCAAGCGCCAGATGAACACATATCCCGTCCCTCGATGGTCAGGGACCACAGCTGTCCATCTGGCTTTCTGAAGTGGACACACCCAGAGCTGTGGTAACAGATTAAGCCAAACTTCAAAGGTTGAAGGGAGATTAAATAGTAAAAGTTATTCCACTGTCATTTTGTAATGTTTATCACTTAATTTTTCTAGTTTATGGAATTGTGAATTATGTGTTCTTAGAATGAGGCACGCTGTGGTTCTCTTAGCTGTAAAATCAAGGAAGAGATGGAGTTTTCTAATTCTTTTTAAAAAGCGGTTCTTCCAAAATATGACTTTGAAGCATTGAAAGTGAGGACTTGGGGGAAAGCAGAGCTCTGCTAGCAGTGAGTTACTGGACATCGGGGGACAATGATCAAGGATAGCCCTGAGCTCTACTTGCCCTGTGGGGTGGGGTAGGCTGTGCATGTGTGTGCATATACATACAAACATGTTCATGTGAATATGTGTGAGTGCAGTATACATGCATGTGTGATTGTGACAGTACTGTGAACATGTGTGTATGTATGTGCACGTGAGGGTACATGTATGTTGTGAATCTGTGTGTAGGAAGAGACCCTCAGAGACCTGCAGAGACCTCTGTTCTTTCTCTAAGAGTCCCCTCTTAGGCTAAATTCTGCTACTCTATCTGCATTTGCTAGAAGGATCCAGAAAGATCCAGAAAGTATAAATGTGTGATACTCCTGTGGTTTCTCAGCCTGTTGTTGGATATCTATGGTCAGGGGAAGGTATGTGTGCTTTTTTATTTTCTAATTCTCAGGTCTTTTGAATGAGTAGAAGTGACGATGGAACGGTACCATCATGATTGTTATACTCAATCAGACTCTATGAAGGGATTTTCCTTCTGCTGCTGGGGCTGGGAGCACAGGGAACTGGGATGATTGCCCTGATGAACCACTGTCCTCTAACTACAAGTATAAGTGAAATGGCCTCCAGGCATCTGACTCAGCTACCTGAACAGAGGCAAGTCACAGGTGCCTATCAGGCGTTCTATGACTATTATCCTGCCAAATGAACATAGTACTAAATCAGCTCCTAATGACTTAATGCTATACCCATAGGTTAGTGCATCTCTCGATCCTCATCAGAGAAGCTTCTTTTAGCAGTAGGTGGCAGGTGACACGGAGGTCCACATCTGGTCAAAATAAAACAGTAAGAGGCTTCGGAGTACTCTGCCTTAAATGGGACACCTATATTATGCACCCTCCTCCCTTGGCCACAGGGATTGTCAGGGAAGAGGGGACGGAGAGGTTGTAAAAGCCAGAGGTGGTAGATGACTACAGCAAAACAGTACTTTCCAGACACAAGGGGGCAGATGGAGACAGAGAGCTCAGGAGCAAGGTGCTAGCAGGGCTTATGTGGGAGCTCTGGGTTTGAATGAGGGATCCTGCCTCAAAAGAGGAAGATGGAAGTAGGTGCTCCCGTGCACACGCCCGCCCACACGCCCGCCCACACGCCCGCCCACACGCACGCCCACACGTGCTATACACTGCAACTGTACATATGAAAGAAAACATAAAGTGCATTTAAAAGTTTTTATAATTTGTTTAATTTTAAGGCACAGAGTTTATGATCATTTTAACATCTAAAAGTACAAAGTTAACATTGCTAACATCTGACAGTCTACTATGTACCAAGTATAAATGCCACATTGTTAAAGTAGATTTAGAAATCCGACTCCTAAAGAGATATAAAATAATGTGGGCCATGGTGACACGGGTTAGACAAAAGTCCCTCAAAATGTGTGGGTGACGTAGAAAGCAGGCTGCCAGGCTAAAACCACAGCATCCTGTAAGGGGGGGGGCGGTGTTGGACACTGTATTACTTTGTTTTCTTACATTTTTTTACCAAATCTTAGGACCAGTACTGTTAATACATTGTACTCTCAGATGAATCACCCACCAAGCAGATGCATGCATGAAAAATGAGGTCTCCAACATCCACCACATGCAACAACCAAGTCCACAGGAAACACTTTCAGTAAGATGTGTGGCTGTCAAACACTAAACCTGATCGGTCTTACAGAGCATCTAAGCAAACTGTCATCTGTGCATGGGACTGGAGTCCAGCAGCCGGCCCAGGGACCTACTATGATGCAGGTTGGCCACAGAGATGATGGAGGGAAAGCCACAAATAGATCAGAAACTCCTTGACTCAATCTTTTCCACTTCCTCACTAGAACTATTTACCAGAACTGCTCAAGAAAAGGGTTTCCTGGGTTTTAATCTGGAATTTGATCTTCCTGGGATTTTCCCCGCCTGGTCTCAGAATGAGATAAACAGATAACAGTGCAGCCGTGACTGACAAGCCCCAACCACATCACCTTCACGGAAGACTTGGTGTGGGAAGGAATCATTGCAAGGCTCACGTTGGTTGCAACGCAAGGTGGGGAGATTCTCGAGGCTGCAGCTGAGGTGAGGAGACCCCCGAAGGCACATACCCCGCCCGTCCCAGGGAGGGAGCAAGGGAAAGTTCCAGAAAGGAAGCTGGAACCAAAGGCACAGAGAAGCACTCTCCACAGCCTCTCTTTGATGCAGAGGCCGCAGCATCCTAGAGGCAGAAGCTAGCAACCTTGAATCCACCAGGCTGCTTCCTGCTGGTCCTCGTGGCTCTGCAGAAGGGTCCACCAACTCCACACCCCTTTCAAATCAGACCAAAAGTGCCCATTCTAGCTCAGTGGGGCCAAATCTTATGTTTGTTTTAGGTCTTCTGTGATAACCATTAAGGTACCAGGAGGACCCTTCACCAATCCTTTAAACAAATACCACACCATATATAAATGAAATGTTATGTGAGAGGTATACACACATTCATACTCTAGAAATATTCACCAATATGTTACCAGAAATTAAAGAGTAAATTTTAGGTAATTTTTTTACTTCCTTCTTTATACCATCTAATACTGATTTAAGGAATCATTTCATAAGAATAGAAATGGCGCTTTCATTTTAAACTAATAATTTAAGAAAAAAAAGCAAGCAATGTATGATTACGAAAAGTATCAAAGAAAAAACAATTTTTTAAAAATTGAGGGAATTGAACTGAAAGCAATTTGCTTTAAAACAAACTATAAAAACCATACTCTAAATATCATGGAATACAGTATCACTGGATGTCAAAGATATAAATTAACATAGACCAGACATCTGGTGTGCATATATTGGTAGACAAACATATAGGAATGAGTGGACAAACTGTAAGGCCATGTGTCACATGGTGGGATTTAGAGGGTCACAGTGTCACCAATTATTTTCCAAAAGATGTTGTTGGGGGAAAGACTTAAAATGCTGTGTTGGAAGTCTCACTCACACAAGTGAGAAATAAGACAAAAAGTACCCCAACTTCACTTCATTCTTTTTGCAACGTCTGAATAGGCATGCTCAATCTCCTGGTCGGCTGGACACGTGTTTGTGAACTCATCCCGGGCATAAGCATTGTTCAAGTATCTCCAGATGCCAGTCATTTCAGAAGGAAACTCAAAATCTCTGTATTTCTTGGCTACAATCTAAAAATAAAGAGGAAATGATCAGTAAAGGGAAAATCCACTAACGTAAGCAAGCAAAAAATCCATCTTTTGGAGACACATAGCTCAATTCCTGATGTCATTCTACCATCATTTGGGCTGCCCACAGTGGCATTTGCTAGCAGCACCTTGAGGACAGTAGCTCTGTGACAGAGAGTATTCATTGTCTAGATTGGGTTAAGGTAGAAAGACTTGTCCCAAATGTAAGAGGCACTATTCCATCAGGGTCCCAAATTGAATAAAAAGTAGAAAGGGAGCTGAGTACCAGTACCTATAGCTTTCCACCTCCTAACTGCCGATATGATGTGACCAGCTACCTCACTCCAGCCACCATGCCCTCCCCTCCCTTATGGACTGTATCAGCTCAAACTGTGAGCCAAAACAAACATTTCCTCTCTCATGTGCTGTTGTCCCAGCCACAAGAAAAGTAGCTAATACAAACTCCATGCACTCCTACCCACCAAGTTGCCAGAGGATCCTTGGGATCCACAGGCACACGTGTGCCACACTCCAGTGACCTTCTCCCTGTGTCTGCTGCAATGTCCTTGCCTCATGCCTGCAATGTGTTATGTGCTACATAAAGACTCACAATGAACCTTCCTTTTAGATTCTGCCAGGGTTGTTCAATATACTGTCTCTTTTCCTAGTGACTAAGTCTCACCTCTGTAATCTCTAATACCTGTGTATGGTTTTCCTGAAGAAGTTCATCACTCTGACCTAAGCAGATCACTGGACTATGAGCCTACTAAAGGCAGAGGTCAGGTACGTGAACAAAACAGACACACTCCCCCTCCTCACACGGACAAAAGAAATGAGAACAAGAAGACTGGGGCGAATATACTAATAAACTCAACAGTGTGAAATGTTCCCCGGGCTGGAGAAGGCCAGAAGAGGAACCCACTATGAAGGACAGTGTTCAACATTTGATAGATGTATGACTTTGCTAGGGTTGCTGAAGCAGCACCCCACACTGGGCAGCTGAAAACAAACTGTTACTCCATCATGGTCCTAGAAGCTAGGAGTCCAAAATCAAGATGTCTGTAGGACCCTGCTCCCACTGAAGGCTCTAGGTCAGAATCTGTCTCAGGTCTCTCTCCTAGCTCCTTGTAGCTCCTTTGGCTGTGGAAGTATAACTCTATTCTCCATATTTTATCACTGTGTCTGTGTGTCTGTCTCAAAGTCCTCTTTTACCAAGGGTACCAGCAAGTCATATCGGCATAGGATCCAGCCTAGGCTAGTATATCTTCATTTTAACTAATTACATCTACAAAGACACCAAATGAGTCACATTCTAAGGTGACAGGGGTTAGAATCTTGGCATACAAATTTGGGGAGGGAGAAGAACAATTCTACCTTTCACAGAGATAAAATGGTCCCTTCCCCTGTGCCACCTCCCTTCCCACTGATCCTGGGATGTGGGAATGGAGCCACCATGGGACTCATCAGCACAAATAAGATTTTCAGGACTCATTTATCAGATTTGAAGGCTAGGAGCCACTGATGCAGTGTGCCATCAAATTAGGACCAAAGACTTTTAGAAAAATCTCTAAGATGTGTGAAAACCTTCATCTGATGGAGACTTGGGAATGTTGATGTCTAAAATCTTGTTTCTCTTGTTGGCACTCGCCTGCTTTATTTTTGCCCATTTTTTTAACCTGAACCCAGAGCCTCACACATGCTAGACAGGAGCTCTGCCACTGAGGTAGATCCCCAGGCCTCTTCCAACATTTTAAAATTCATTCTTAATTGAATTTTGCAAATTTTGTATAATTTATTTGATCATACTTAGATCCCCTCCCATATCTGTACCCCCCCTTATGAAACTCCCCAGCAAAGAGTATATGTACTCTAATATAATATATATTGTTATGTATGTTAAGGCCTATAGAGTCAGAGGGAGGGGCTGGAGAGATGGCTCAGCGGTTAAGAGCACTGACTGCTTTTGCAGAGGACCCGGGTTCGATTCCCAGCACCCACATGGTGGCTATGACCCATCCTTAACTCCAGTTCCAGGGAAATCTGAAGCCGTCTTCTGACCTCTGCATTGTACGACAGACATGGTGGAACTCACATACATGCAGGCAGTACACTCATACACATAAAATAAAAATAAATATTTTAAAATAAAATAAAATAAAGCATGGACTAGAGAGCTGATTTAGCAGTTAAGAGCACTGACTGCTCTCGCAGAGGACCCAGGTTTGATTCCCTGCCCCCACATGGCAGCTAACAACTGTCTGTAACTCCAGTTCCAGGGGAATCCAATGCCTTCTTCTGACCTACGCAGGCACTGCATGACATGGGTGCTCCTACCTACATGCAGGCAATACACTTATATGCATAAAATAAAAATAATAAATAAAATAGTTAAAAAAATAACAAAGCAGCCATGTGTGGTAGTGCATGCTTGTAGTTCCAGGAATCCTGCAGAGGTGGGAAAATAGTGAGATTGGGAACTTCCTGAGCTATATGGCCAGTTCAAGGCTAGCCTGAAATGTATAGCAAGACTCTGCCTCACAAGACCATGGGCTAGCGGTATAACTTAGAGGGAGAGCAGTTACCTAGCGTATACAAGGCCCTGGATTTGATGCCCAGAACAAATAATAAATAAATAAATAAATAAATAAATAAATAAATAGACAAATATTTGAATAAATAAATAGTAAGTAAATAAATAATCAATTCAAGTTATTCTTTGGCAGAGGTCCAGGCTATCCTCCAATTAAGTGTGTTCCACTTGAACAGTCTCCCCTTTTCCTCTTCTTTCATCTCCTCTTCCTTCCTTCCTTCTTTTTTCCCATTCTAAGTATGCACAGACGGGACCTGTCTAATCACCTTTATCCCTTTTGTTCTTCCTCATTTGATTTTGAAGTTCCTCCCATGCTCATGGATTGGTAGAATTAATATTGTGAAAATGACCATCCTACCAAAAGCAATTTATAGATTCAATGCGATCCCAATCAAAATCCCCATGACATTCTTCACAGAAATAGAAAAAAAATTTATATGGAATCATAAAAGACCCCAAATACCCAAAGCAACCCTGAGCACAAAGAGCAATGCTGGGGGTATTCCCATATCAGATTTCAAACTATATTACAGAACTACAGTCATAAAAAGAGCATGGTACTGGCATAAAAACAGACCTGTAGATCAATGGAACAAAATAGAAAACCCAAACATGAATGCAAGCAATTTATGCCAGCTGGTATTTGACAAAGGTGCAAAGAACACACACTGGCAGAAAGACAGCATCTTCAACAAATGGTGCTGGCAAGACTGGATCTCACCTGTAGAAGAATGAAACTAGACCCATATCTATTACCCTGCACAAAAGGCAACTCTAAATGGATCGAAGTCTTCAATGTGAAACTAGAAATGCTGAAACTGTTAGAAGAAAACATAGGCAGTACCCTACAAGATGTACATGCAGGAAAGGACTTCCTAAATCCGACATTAGTTGCTCAGGAATTAAAGTCAACAATTGACAGATGTGACTTCCTTAAACTAAAAAGCTGTACAGCAAAGGAAACAACCAATTGAGTTAAGAGGAAGCCCCCAGAGTGGGAGAAAATCTTCATCAGCTGTACACCTGACAGAAGATTAATATCCAGACTATACAAAGAACTCAAAAAATCAAAGAATAAAAACAAAAAATGAAAATAAATGACCCAATTAAAAAATTGGGCTATGGATCTGAACAGAGAACTCTCAAAAGAAGAAATAAAAATGATTAAGAAATGCCTTAAAAGTGTTCAACATCCTGGAGATCTTAGCAGACAGCCTGAGATGGTGGGTTCCACCTATGTAGAGGCTGTGATCTCAGCAGACTGCCAGAGGGTGCCTGTTCTGGCTTCCCTCTGGCATAAGGGGCTGAGAACCCAGTGGAATGTCTGAGAGTGCCCCAGGGGGACTGCCTGAGAGTGCCTAACCATACCCAACCCCCTAACTGGGATTGTGTGAGGCCCCTCCCAAGGCCCTGGGTCAGAACTGGCTTTGGTATCATAAGGCTGAGATCTTAACAGACAGCCTGAGAAGGCAGGTTCTGTCCTCCATCTGTGTAGCAGCTGTGATTTCAGCAGATGCCAGAGAGTACCTGTTCTGGCCTCCTCTTGAATGAATTCACAAAAGAGATAGAAACATTGAAGAAAACTCAGGCAGAAATGAAGAAGAAATTGAAAAACTCAATAAGCCAAGTTGAAACAACAGGGGAAAGCCTCACCAGTAGAATGAATGAAATGGAAAACAGAAGATCAACACTGAAGGATAAAGTTGAAGAACTGGACTGCTCAAGCCAAGATTATGAAAAAAAATTTAAAACACAGGACTGTAATATGCAAGAGATGTGGGACACAGTGAAAAGAATTTCAGGTTAATGGTGTTGACCAGATCTTAAACAGGATTGTAGAAGAGAATTTCCCAAAATTAAAGAAAGACATCCCTAAACAAATACAGAAAACAAAATCAGAAAACAAACTCTCCATAACATATCATAGTAAAAACACTAAATGTACAAAACAAAGAGAGAATACTGAAAGCAGCAAAAGAAAAACAGTAAGTCACATATAAAGGAAAGCCAGTCAGAATTACAGCTGACTTACAAATGAAAACTATGAAAGCCAGAAGAACCTGGACCAAGGTATTTCCAGTTCTAAATGACAATAGATGCCAGCCCAGAGTACCTCACCCAGCAAAAATGTCTATTATAGTTAGAGGAAAGAAAAATCTTCCATGACATGAAAAGCCTAAAAGAATACATGTCCATGAAATCAGCCCTTCAAAGAATACTTGAAGCAATGCAAAGAGAAGAGAAAGGAACAACTATACCACAGGGGCAACAAAAGAAAATAAATAAAGGTATAACTGAGAAAACACAAAATTAGACAAAAAACACAAATAGCAGTGAAAATGATGGCAACCAATACATATCTTTCAATTATATCAATGGACTGAACTCCCCATTCAAAAGACACAGGCTAAGC